CAACTATTCAATTATTTTCATATGTAATAAAATTCATCATAGGATTTGAATTATTTTTAATACAATTTCACAGTAATTGCTGAAAAAATGTTTAAAAAAATTCTTCAAAATTTAATTTCAATTCCTCGAGAAAATCAGTTATTTAAAAAACGTTTTTTTTTAATTCTTCGGAAGAATTCAATTATTTACAAAAATATTAGAATTTTTCACAGGAATTCAATTATTTTCAAATATTTTAATAAAATTTTTCGAAAGAAATCAATTATTTTAAATAAAATTTTAATTAAATTTTTTTGAAAAAAATCAATATTATTGTTTTAGATTTTAATAAAATTCTTCCCAAGAATTCAATTATTTTTAAAAATAACAAAATTTTTCACAGAAATTCAATTCTTTTCAAAGATTTTAATAAAATTTTTCGTATTATTTCAATTATTTTCATAAATATAATAAAATTCTGCTCATGAATTCAATTATTTTTTAAAATTTTAATATAAAATTCTTAGCAACTATTCAATTATTTTCATATGTAATAAAATTCATCATAGGATTTGAATTATTTTTAATAGAATTTCACAGTAATTGCTGAAAAAATGTTTAAAAAAATTGTTCAAAATTTAATTTCAATTCCTCAAGAAAATCAGTTATTTAAAAAATGTTTTTTTTTTTAATTCTTTGGAAGAATTCAATTATTTACAAAAATATTAGAATTTTCCACAGGAATTCAATAATTATGTCGATAAATATCAAAATTATTCGCGAAAATTTAATTATGTTGAGGCATTTTAATGAAATTCTTTGCAAAATTCAATTATTTTCATTAATAACAATATTCATCACAAGATTATTAAAAGTAATAAATTTCTTCTTGAAAATTTAATTATTTAAAAAAATTGTAATAAAATTGTTCCCAAGAATTTAATTTTATTATTTTCATAAATAATAAAATGCTTTTTCAGAATTCAATTATTTAAAAAAAAAAATGTTATAAAATACCACACAGACATTCAATTATTGTAAAAAATTTTAATAAAACTCTTTGTAAAATTCAATTATTTTCATAAATAAAAATATTCATCACAAGAATTCAATTATTTTTAAAAATAATAAATTTTTTATACCTATATACATATAAAATATACCTACATAAGACCTATATAAAAAAATATAACTAATTTCAGAAGAATTTGAACCATTAAAATTTTTCAAAAATCTAAGTTCTTTAAAATGTCTAATAAAATTTATTAAAAATGAAAATTTTTTTAAATTTTCAAATTGATATGTTTTGGAGTTCATCTATTTATGAAAATTGTAAACGCAACTCTTTTAAAATTGAATTAATTTTGAAACATTTAAGTAAAATTATTCATTTGATAATTTGTAAGTAATAATTTTTTGATAGTTCTTTAAGAATTAATTTATTTAAAAAGAATTTTTTGTCAGAAATAGAAAAAATTGAAGGTTTATTATTACACTTCGTGGTAATTTCATAGTTTATGACGCAAACAAAAAAGACACAAAAATTTAGAATTTTCATATGAATTCTAAAAATTTAATTTTTTTACATCACTTTTAATAAAAATCCCTGACTGTTCCCTTATAATTCCCTGACTTTTGTCAGCCCTGAATAATAATAATTATTATTAATAAAAAATTAAAATTAATTGCTAATGACAGAAATCTATCCAAATGTTTTGTGTGGAATAAAAAAAGGAAAAAATTCTCTCCATTAAAAAATTATACTCAGTTATATTTAAGTCGTGAAACTACAGCATTTTGGTTGACAACTTGATGCTTTGATCAATTTTTAATCAGAAAGGAAAATTTGCCAAAGCAACGGACGTTGTAACGTAGTGGGTCTGATTGGCGCCGAACCTGTTCATTTTCACGGATTTCTGGTCGAGCGGAAAATGCAAAGCGACTAACACCAGCATTCACTTTCCCGAATAAATGGCTCCGATTGTGCCAACAACAATAGCCCACTTTCTATCGAAAATGCGAACTAACATTATGTAATTCAACTCCCTTATATATGCCCCCTTTTCATTTCCACCCAGCTCTTTAAGTTATTCTTCTGACTTTTCAAGCTTAAAATTAGTTTCTAAATTGGAGACCCGCAATTACCCTCTTTTTTTCAGCTATAATAATAAATGCTGCATGTGAAATCGACAACTGAAAAGAATGACTTTATTCAATCAACTGAATACGATATTTCCAAATCAAATGAAAACGTGTGTGCTTTCATTGCTGCAAATTCAATTCGTAAATATAAATATGTCATAGTTATATTGCTACACGAGAGATATAATTTTTATAACTTATATTTTATTCATGCGAGAATTGTTATCTCTATATCTCGATAAACCGTTGCCTATATCTTTTTCTCTTTTTTTCAATTTTTATTTTTATTACTCTGCTTTTCTTTTCAATCTTTTATATCATTTCACTCTTGATTCTAATCATGTGGAATATTTTCAATACGAAAATAATTTTTTTTTATTTTTTTCCATTAAAATTTAAAAAATTAGCAATTTTAAAAATACTAGAACGTACAAATTTTTAATTCATATTTTTTTTATTAAAATAAAATATTAATTGGAATATATAGTTTTAATATTATTATAATTATAGTAATCATATATTCTGACATAGGGAATTTATGGGAAAAGTCAGGAATTTTTATTAAAAGTACTGAAAAAAATTAAATTTGTAGAATTCATTAGAAAATTCCGAATTTATATCTTTTTGTTTGACTCATTAACTGTAAAATTACCACGAATTCTAATACAAAACCTTCAATTTTTTTTTAATTTCTGACAAAAATTTCTTTTTAAATAACTTAAATATTGAACAACTATCATAAAATAAATAAATTATTTAATGAATAACTTTACTTTAATATTTCAAGATTAATTCAATTTCAAAAGAGTTGCGTTTACAATTTTCATAAATAAATAAACTTCAAACGGTTTCAACTTGAAATTTTATAAAATTTAAATTTTGAAGGAATTTAATTCAAAATTTTAATGAACTTAGATTTTTCGAAAAATTTTAATAATTCAAAATCTTCTATACAATTAGTTAAATTTGTCAATATGTATTTAATTAATTATTAAAAATAATGGATTTATAGAATAATTTTAGTTAAAAACACAAAAAAAAATTGAATTTTGAAAAAGTTACAAATGATTGCAGAAATTCGATTATTTTCAAAAATAATAAAATTATTATCACAAAATTTAAAATTTACAAGATAATCTCGACAAAATCCCAATTATTATTTTTATAAATAAAAAAATTCTTCTTCAAAATTCAATCATTTACAAATTTTTTTATAAATATCTTCGCGCAAATTCAATTATTTTCAAAAGTAATAAAATTTTATGCAAAAATTCAATTAAGTTCAAAATTTTTTAAAAATTCTCGTCAAAATTTCAATTATCTTTATAAATAAAAAAATTATACTGCGACATATAATTATTTTCAAAAATTTTAATAACATTCATAGCAAAATTTCAGTTATTTTCAAAAATTTTCTTGAATTCAATGATTTTCAAAATCTACTATTTTAATAAAATTTTCCAAAAGAATTTTATTATGAAACAAAATTTAATAAAACTCTACGCAAAGATTCAATTATTTCCATAAATAATAAAATTATTATTAAGAATTAAATTATACAATTTAATAAAATTTTACAATAAAATTGAATTATTTAACAAAAATTTCCACCAATTCAATAATTTTCGATATCTATTTTAATAAAGTTTTCCAAAAAGAATTCCATTATTTAAAAAAAAATTTTAATAAAATTCTACATGAATATTGAATTATTTTCATAAATAATGAAAATTTCACAGAAATTCAATTATTTTCATAAATATAAAAACTCATCGCAGAATTTTAATAATTTTTAATACAATTTTAATCGAATTCTTCGAAAAATATCATTATTCTTAAAAATATTAAAATTCGTTGTAAGAATAAAATAAAATTAAAATTTGTCTTCGAAATTCAATTATTTTCAAAAATTTTATTAAAATTATATGAGAAAATTTAAATTATTTCAAAAAAAATTTTAATAAAATTCTACGCAAATATTATTAAATAAAACTATTCGACAAAATTCAATTATTTTCACAAATTTTAATAAAATTCTTGTAAAAATTTAAATTATTTTCAAAAATTTTTCTCAATTCAATTATTTTCCATATCCACTATTTTAATAAAATTTTCCAAAAAAATTCAATTATTGAAAAAATTGTTTAATTCGTCAAAAGAATTCAATTAGTTAAGAATTTGTTAATAAAATTCAAAATCTAAAATTAGTTAAATTTGTCAATAAATATTTACCTAATTAATTATTATTAAAAATAATGGATTTATAGAAAAATTTTAGTTAAAAACACAAATAAAATTGAATTTTGAAAAAGTTACAAATGATTGCAGAAATTCAATTTTTTTTGAAAAATAATAAATCTATTATCACAAAATTCAATTATGTTCAAAACTTACAAGAATATCTCGACAAAATCCCAATTATCATTAACTATTTTTGTAGTGTTTTCAACAAAAATTCAAATTAGAAAATTTGTAACTTCTATTATTTTTAAAATTGATAATTTTATTTAAAAAAAAAGGCAGGAAAAAGTTATTTAGAAAGTTAGTGAATAAAAGAATATGAAAATTAATATATAGTTAATATTGAATATTTAAATTAGTTTTTTCATTGACGTGTACCTATACATATTTAAATATAGATAATATAAAATATACTTATGAATATATCGACCTTTAAAAATCGTCAGGGAAAATTAATGATCTGCTACATTAGAATTGATTCGATTCGATGTCGCAAGAGATAAGTGTTTTCGATGATACATTCTTTTCACTCGAAACCAAATATTGCATAAGTTATTATGGGTAATTTAGATGAGCGATATTTCAGTGTGGAGATGAATATAACTTAATTAGAGAAATGACAGATGCTTAATGCTCACCACTTTATCGCCCAAATTTCGAACACGGCAGGGGAGATAGGCCGTTTGACCTTCCAAGGCGGAAACATTGGCAGCGGTCTGCTCGAAAACAGGTACATCTCCCTCGGGGTCTTCTGTTAAGGATATACCCTGGGATTTTTCCACGGAGATGCTGCTATGAATCTGAACAGGCGCTGAAAGGAAGAAAGTGTGCTTTGAATTCGATACCAAATACGATATACGTGTAAGACATTTTACAAGTTAAAAAAAAAACAAAACAAAAAGAGAAAAAAAATAAGAAAAATCTCTTTCAATACAGCATTTCAGATTATTTCTACTCTCAAGTAATGTTGTTCGTGTTCCAATAACATTGCAGAGGAATTTATAACCAAGTGAATAATTAAAAGATAAAACTTTTATTTCTTTGTGAATTATTTAATAAAATTTTCAATTACTTGCTCATAAAAATATAATAATAATCTTTAAAAAAAAATAGAACTGAAATATTTTAAAAACCTGATTTTATAGAATTGTAAATAAATTTTTATATGACTTAAAATTTAAAAAAAAATTTACTAATTAATCAGATTAAAAAAAATAATTTTATACTCAATTTGAACTTTTTAATGCTGTTTAAACTAATAAACATACAAATACATTCGATTGTAACTCTTGATTTATTTTCAATATAATTTCACAAAATTTTATTTGATTCAAATAACCGATTACTTGTCTATTATTAAATAAACATTTACTTGAATCAATTAAATACTTACATGAGTCAAATAAATTTTATTTAAGTCAAATAAATTGTATACTTGAACCAATAATTTCAGTATTTGAAGCAAATATGAATTGAACCATTTAATTGACTTGAATAAAAATTGTTTGATTCGAGTAAATATTCATTTAATAATAGACTAGTAATATTGGATATTTGAACCAAATAAATTTTTTTAAAATAATTTAATTATTGGCAAGAATTTTATTAAAATTTTTGAAAATACGAATTGAATTGTTTTGAAGAATCTATTTCAAATTTTTGAGAATAATTGATTTTTTAAATAATTTTTATTGAAAAATTTTAAAAGTAGGAATTGAATTTTATGAAGAATTTCTTTTAAGTTTTTAAAATAATCGTGTTTATTAATAATTAAAATTAAAAATTTTATTATTAAGTTTTATAAAAAAATAATTGCTAGAAAATTCATTTTTTTAAACAATTTTATTAGAGTCTTCGTAAATAATTTAATTTTTTTGAATAATTTTTTTTAATTTCTTGAAAATAAAGCAAGTTTTTTTTAACAATTTTATTTAAAAATTTTGCAAATAATTGAATTTTTCGGAAAAATTTGATTACAATTTTTAAAAATAATTCAACCCGTTGGAGAAATTTAATTAAAATTGTATTGAAAATAATTGAATTTCTCAAAAAAATGTTATTATTTATTAAAATAATTAAATTTCGCAAAAAAATGTTATTATTTGTTAAAATAATTGAATTTTAAGAAGAATTTTACAATTCATAAAAATAATTGAATTGTCTCGAAGATTTTTATCAAAATTTTTGGGAAATAATTGAATTCTTTGGAAAAATGTTATTAAAATTTTTTTAAAATAATTGAATACTTTTGTGAAATTTCATTAAAATTGTTTTAAAAATAATTGAAATCCTGCCAAAAATTTTACTATATTTATAAAAATAATTGAATTCCTCAAAAGAATTTTATTATTTATTAAAATAATTGAATTTTGAGAAGAATTTTACAATTCATAAAAATAATTGAATTTTTTCGAAGATTTTTATCAAAATTTTAGTAAATAATTGAATTCTTTCGAAAAGTGTTATTAAAAATATTTTTAAATAATTGAATTCTTTCGTGGAATTTCATTTAAATTAATTTAAAAAGAATTGAATTCCTGTTAAGAATTTTACTATTTTTTTAAAAATAACTGAATTCTTACAAAGATTAATATTTAATGATTATTTATTTCTTTACAGTAATGAAAATTTTGTTTAAATTTTAGTTTAATCATGTTAGAAACATGATTGTTTCATTTGATTAAATTACTATTATTTCAGCCGCAGTATTGCGATCAATTTCTTTTGTAATTTCCTTTAGATTATAAGGTTTCTTTTGTTAACGACATTTTTGTCCGTCCAAACTTAAAGAAATAAATAAAGATAAAAACCTTCTAAAATTCAAGTATTTTTGAAAATTAAAACAGTTTCTACCTAAAATCTTTTATTCTTTTCTAAAGTCAATTTTCATTGATAACTTTTAGAAAATTTTTTTTGTATTTAATTATTGAAAATAAATTTAATTATTTACAGAAATATGAAAAATAACGGTAGTATTTTAAAATCCAAAGCAATTTAAAAGTTTTGACAATGAAAAGAAATTGAAGAAGAATTTAAAGTTTTTGAGTTCTTTTGAAAAAACAGTTTTTACACCAATAACAAGAATTTTTGTATAATGATTTTAGAAATTTGATATTTTTCCAAATCAAAATGATTAATTCAATTTTTTTCCAATTGTTCTCTCTAAATTAGTGCTTCATTCGAGAATCTCTCGCTCGATTGCATCACTACTCTAAATCTGAATTAGTAAATCTAGAATTAGAATTCCCCACTAATTAGAGGTGCGGATTCGTTTACCAATTAAATAGTATAAAGACTACTAATTTTTAGTATAGAAAACTAATTAATTTGATTAAAATTCTTAATCTGATTGTAAAATATCTGTTAATTGACGGAGTGAAACTTTATTCTTTCAATTAATATCTAGATATTTTCTCATTAAATTAGTAATTTTCTATAAAAATAATAATTGACATAATATAATTTTGAAATGGAAAATAATGTTAATAAAACATTTATTTAGAAAACTACTTTTAATTTTTAATTTTTGTATTTAAAAATATTTTTTTTTTAATATAGAAAATATTTTTTTGTATCGAATACAAAGTAGAAGAAGTAACAAAAAATACCTTCGTTCATTAGAACGTTCAAAACTTTAGAAATATGGAAATCAATTATTCTTATGTCTTATCTCTTAATCGAAGTCATAACTATAATTTAACCGATGCTCTTGGATAACAGAATCTTCATTTTTACTGTCTATATTTTTCCTAAATTTTCAAAGGTCATCTGAACGAAATTTTCTCCTATTTAAATATTTTCTGAAATCTGTTACATCTCAAATTTTCATAGTTTCGGAATTCAACAATAATAACATTTAATTTATACTATTCTTTCTGGAGGATTTTCGTTTTGAAACTCTTCTTTTTCAGATTATTATTAGTATTCATTAATGAATATTAATTATAATTTTTTTAAATTAATTTAATTTTTTTACTATTTTTTTACCTTAAAAGTATTAAACTTAATACTTTTAAGGTAAAAAAAATAGTAATAATTGTAATAGTACAATTTTTGAAATTGTACTTTTCTTTCAAAGGGATTTTCTTTTTGAAACTCTTCTTTTTCATACAAATGGTTAATATTCATTTGATCCTTTTTTGGTGAAAAAAAATAGTAATAGTAATAATTGTACTATTCTTTCTGGAGGATTTTCCTTTGAAACTCTTCCTTTTCATATAAATGGTTAGTATTCATTTGATACTGTAGAAAGTTAATCTAGAGAGTCAACGTGAAATGAAGATTAACATCGGTCGTCGACATCTTCAATTTACTTAAATTGGTCTAAAACTTCCGGGACCTAAACTCATTTAGTTCTTCACGAGACATTTGAACACAATGATTAGACAACATTGCACGATATACATATATACACACAAATACAATAAGTATATGTAGATGATGTCTATATACAAAATGATTTCCGTAAGTCGTTTCATTTTATTAGACATCACACTTTTGAACCTCAATTTTAGAACCGTTAACTTTCGAGATTCATAAATGATTATGTTTATATATACATATATATATACAGCCAAAACGATGTCAGAAGGGAATATTCAGTTTTAGGTCATTTCCGAAACGAGAGGGTATATCTTATCGTGTGACATTTATCGCAAGTCCCTTCTGATGGTCCCTGGAGCATCAATCATCATCTAGATGTAACGACAGCCAGCCAGGGATATCAGAAATGGCTTTATGTGAGACTGAGGGCGATGTATATATATACCACAAACAATTTTTTATTAAACACACAGAGTCTTGTGAGCTTTTAGGCACAATACCCCGCATAGTTTTTATGATTTATGATCGCATCCACCACATTGCACTAAGCAATGTATATAAAAACAATATACAAAAACCAATTCAAGAGTGTTTAATAAATTACTTATACTCAACTACACTTGACAATAAACGCAATATAAATGTTCTGAAAACACTCTGCAAAATACAATGGAGAATACAATTAAATTCATCATTGCGCAAAACTCGCGCAAAACTACAAAGGTGAAAACGAATTTTCAAAAAAAGAATATTCTGAACTAGTTTCGACCCAATTGGAATTTATTATCTCGATACATATACTATATACGCAATTTAAAATTTAAAACCAAAAACCATGGAAATTGAATAAAAAAAAACATTTCACAGCAGAGAATGAAATTTTCACCCAAATTTATATTAAATTTTGAATCGCGTTTTCCTAACTTAAATAATAAAATATATACCTCTTGTTAATTAAAATCTTCAATTAATATACACAAATTTCAAAAGGATTTTACCATTTATTAATTAATACATATATGTTGAAAATTTGAAATACATAATTTTCTGCGAAATTTATTATTCTTTAAAGTTTACATTTATATACGTGTGAGCTAAATAAATGAGAGAAACTTATATTTGCTTTAATAAATGATTATTATTTTTTATGTTACTAATTACCAATCAACAATAAAGCGCATTGAACAACTTTCCAATTCATTTTGCAAGCTAAAATCGACGTTATTCATCACAAAGCTAATTAAAAGTATATGGAGACTGCATTATATAAAGAATATGAATATCATTGTCAGGACTATGGTTTCATTATAAAGTTTTCATGTACACTGACTTTATTAAATAAAATTTAATTATTGCAGAACTGAAATTAATGATTCTGATATGATAATTAATTTCGTAAGATTAATATTATGTGCCGATAAAAGAGTTCCAATTTATTGATAAATTAAATTTTGTCATTTCTGATAAAATTTTACTTTATACGAGGTA